GGTATGTAATAGATTTTTAAAAATACAAAACGCCTATGCGCTTTTTGGGGAGGATAGTATTTTATCATTGATAATCATTTGTCAAGAAAGACTAGCGAGTGAGTGAGTTTGGCTTCATGCTGCTTTTAGCAGTATTGCTGGAATACTGCTGAAAGTTTCAAACAAGCAAACGAACAAACAAACAAGCATGACTCTTAGCCTTGATACTCTCATGATTTTGACCTAGGATATTAGTAAATTAGTCGGGTGTTGTCCTTTCAGGCGTTGATAGTTCTCGAGGTAGTCCACCACTGGAATATATTTGGTGTACATGGACAGTCTTAGCTGTAACGTTGATATAAAAACTTTGCTTTGCGTTCTTCTTTGGATTGGACACTATATGTATAGTATATGTTACCACTGCTTCGCCGTCATTAATCCATCCAAAGTCACATCCTCCAGGACACTTACCAGTCATTTTGTCAAGACTTATGGATTCGAACAACACATCTCCACACAGGTTCCAGTCAGCAACCCTTACAGTGTGTATATCTTATCTTAGGTCATTACCACCGACATATCCTCCATTGAAGCTATTTAGGGAAAGCAGGTATCACTTATGATATGCATGACCATGCCAGACAAAACATTTTAACGAATCAGTCCAACGTAAGTGCCTACTTCACACTGACCCACATTCAACGAGTCAGTGATTGCAGAGCTGTAAGTACAGATCACGCAAAAGATCCAGAATTTCCAGTTTGCAGTAAAGAAAAAGTGTTTATCAAAGCCCATATTCTCTCTGTGAAGGAGTGCAGTTCGTAAAGTTCTGAATTGGAATTGATATACAGCCCATATAAAACATTCTACCATGGCTACGTTAAAAAGGCTCGAATTTGATTGGTCAATCAATAAAATTAGACGCTACCAATTTTGGATTGACAATGCGTCTGATTTCACAGCGCTTCACTGCGCACGTATACATCACTGCCGCACTACTTCAGCTTGGCCACCAACATGACTAATATATGATTACACAATGCCATTTAGAAAGTGGTCAAATGCAACATATGTTATATTTGGGATTACACTTTCTTAGTAAAGTACAAATTCTAGTACTTTTTGAGTTGAGCCCCATCCGGGATTCGAACTCACACCCTCAGAGTCAGGCACCTAATCGCCAGCACACAAAGTCAGCCGCCTAACCCATTCAGCTACCGCGCCTAACCCATTCAGCTACCGCGACTTCCACAAGTCGCGGTAGCTGAATGGGTTAGGCGGCTGACTTTGTGTGCTGGCGATTAGGTGCCTGACTCTGAGGGTGTGAGTTCGAATCCCGGATGGGGCTCAACTCAAAAAGTACTAGAATTTGTACTTTACTAAGAAAGTGTAATCCCAAATATAACATATGTTGCATGACTAATATACTCATGTCAATAATGGTTGTCATCCCCCTCCCCACCCCAACCCCTCTCCAATTAAAAAAATGGAAGGGGGTGACAATGTTGCAATGTTAAAAAAAATACGAACGGAACCTACCACTCCCTTTACTGACGAGTTCAATTCGCCTCTCGTCCCATGCCGGATTACGCAGTGTATTCTGCAGGACGAGGAAGTTCGATATTAAATCGGAAATGGTAGAAAGGAGATAAACGCACTGTGTTTGGAAATTAGATGAATGTTACACCGAACTGATAGTTTCTAAATTCGTCTTTTAATGTAATGTAGAGACTATCAATTTGGTCTAACATTCATCTAATTTCCAAACACAGTACGTTTATCTCCTAATTAAACCATTTACTTTCGTAAACATTGTACAATGGTATCAAGAGATCAGGCTAGTGGTAGAGAAATGCATTAGGTTTTAGGTTCTTAAGAGGCATATAGAAGTTGGTATTCAGGTATAAGACAAAATATCATAAATGTCAACTTCATCTTTGTTGTATAATTAATTCTTCTTTATTGTATTATTACGTTTTAGGGCTTATGAATCTTAACAGAAACGTTGGTAAATTTAACGTTGTAGGAACATATGTTGTAACGAGAGGGTGAATAAATGCACAATTAGTGATATAAATTTAAAAGAGGAAAATAGTGAATAACCGCATACACACAATCTCGCAGAGTGAACAGACGTTATGTTGATCAAACATTCAGGCTGACTATATCAGGTAAATAATAATGCTGCAATAATGTACGTCAGCAATCAATGGCCGATTGCAAAACTCCAGTTAAACTACACGTGAATTCTCGGGCTATGTTTTGGACATTGGTAGATAGGTTTCACGCTATCTTTTGTCCAGATTTTCACACAGTTCGAAAAAAAGCCAGACAGAACTTTCATAAGAAAAGAAACCATTTTCCCGATTTTGATGTTCGTGAGCCCTACACCAGTTTGAAGTCTGTCCATTTAAGCATATTTCATCAGTGGTGAGGGAATTCGGCGCTTTTTCACCCAGTTAAGTCTTGGTAATGTTTGTCCAAGGGTTTCATTACATACCTGAGGACTTCCTCTATTAATCATTTCCGATATTCTCAACGCCTTTCACAATCTGACCAAGTCGCCGCCGATCCGTAGCACTGAACCTCTTTGGCCTCCCCGCCCCTGCGTTGTGCTCAATCCCAACTCCTGACTGAATATTCTTCAAAGTTCTGTATACTCTTTTGCATTCTTTCAAAATCATCTAGATCCAGCTATCTTTTCTCTTCTGCTGTCACATGTGCCATGCCAACAAGGGAAGCCGTCTGCTACACCAGGGGAGATAACTCTTGATGTAGTATGGTTCATTCAGGAAACAAAGATTTGTACATGAACTAAACTGTACAAGACACTTGTGCAGTAGCGCATACATAAACATAATTGAGTGGAATAGAATGTTGCACTAGCGAATACATACACGTAAACGAATAAAATAAACCATTGCTCAAGCGACTTCATATACATGTCAGAGTGAAATAAAACGCTGCATTAGCTAACGTATATACTTAAATGAGTAAAATAAAACAATGCACCAGCAAATACAATCATATACACAAGTCAGTGGAATATAACGTTGGATTTACCCTGTTATGATCACAATTTAATTGCGATTCCTAAACCGATGCTTTTTGCACATATTTTTTATCATTATAGCATTGCTTTTGCCACTTTTTTATATGATCAACTTGAACCCTAATGGTCTAGGGGACGGCGTTGTCAGTGTTTTCATATATGCTTTCAACAACTGGTTCCCGTGTCATCTCATCTAAAGACATGTAGTCATTTTCAGGCTTCTTCTGTAAAGCAGCTAGTTGTTTCTTCAATCTGAAATATAGAATATTAGAAAATAATACCAACTAACGGGCTCGGGTGGTCAAGCTCGCTGACGTGGGTGATACATGTCATCGCATCCCTTATGCCGTAGCTCGATGCTCATAATGTCACTGGATTGTCTGCTTCAGGCCCGATTATTTACATACCGCCGTTATATAGCTTGAATATTGCTAAACGAAAGCAACACACTAGCGAATACATAAACAAGTGAAATAAACATTAACAGTAAGCGACTACATATACATATCAGAGTGAAATAAAACGCTGCATTAGCTAACGCATATACTTAAATGAGTGAAATAAAACAATGCACCAGCAAATACAATCATATACATTAGTCAATGGAATATAACGTTGGATTTACCCTGTTATGTTCACAATTTAATTGCGATTCCGAAACAGATGCTCCTGAAAAAATCGGAATCTTCAAATGGACCCTGCTTTTGGCACATATTTTTATTATCATTATAGCATTAACACGTCACAATTTAATTCTGGACTCACAAAAGTCCAGAATTCTCGCACTGTGGGCACTTTCTGAAGGATTTGACCAAATGGAACATGCAGTTGTTATGAATACATGCCAAGGATGAAAAATTTCGAAAACTTTAAATTTAAACTCGCCTGCCCATGGGCGAACAGTGGCCCATGGGCGAGCGAGTTTAAATTTAAAGTTTTCGGAAATTTTTTTTTCATCCTTGGCATGTATTAATAACAACTGCATGTTCCATTTGGTCAAATCCCTTGTCAGAAAGTGTCCACAGTGCGGAGAGTTTCTGGACTTTTGTGAGTCCAGAATTTAAATTGTGACTTGTTATAAGGTATTGATACAGTTGCAGGCAACGATAAGGTCTCCTTGGCTTTAGTTCTATCTATTGTATCTGAGGGCTAGAAATCATCGTCCAAAACGGAGCCAGAACACGTTTTTTGACAGGCGAGCGGATCTTCCAAATACAGCCGGGGTCGCGGGGTCATGTACCTTTTAAGAAGTTCCGGAGAAGAAATAGTTCCCTCTTTAAAAGGCTGTATTTCAGTTGTTCTTGGGTCTACGGTCAAAACAATTAGTGTTCTGGAATCACCAAGACACCATCTACCATACTCGCACTTTTTGTGCAGAATCTGCACATTTTGGGAGCAAACTACTCAGAAAACTGCTGAAAAACATGGCCAAAAGACTGAAAACGAAAATAACTGCCAAACGGTACGTTTTAGCGACTTGACCCGTTCAGGCAAAATTGTTGGGAATTCGATTGTGCATCTGTACCAGAAATTTGGAAGTGTTGGAACAATTCGTTATTGAGATGTTTGCTGTCAAACGTTGAAATTTTGGAATTAATTTTGAATCAGGGTTTTAACCCCTGGACATGGTAGACAGCCCAACAGACTTTCTAATGGTCAAGGTCAACAAGGTCACGGGGGTCAAAGTCATTTGACCGGTCCGTCGCAAGAAAAAGTACTTCTTTGACGAGCTAAGACGCCGCTGTTGCTGCTTCTGGGCTACAAAGAATTGGTGTTTCTGCTTTGCCCGGACCTAGTGTATCGTATGGAATGGTCAAACTCGGCAAAACTGATCCCGACGTCTGTCCGCTTGTCTGTCCGCCAAACTATTTCCCCGCTATTTTCTCCGTAACTATTCGACATACAGAACTGAGATTGTGCAGAAAGCTTCCCATTAATTGTGCCTACTTATATAGTACATGTCAAGTCTCTCCCTTTTCAACTTTCGTTGGTATGGCAATCTGAAAAAAATAAGTTTAAATCCAAGATGGCGGCCAAACGGCGGGACGTATCCCCTTGGAACAAAGCAATCGAAAATCATCGGAATGTCATGGCAGAGACACATACCAAATATGGACGCTATTGGGTCAATGCTGACGGAGATATATGCTGTTTTATGCCGTTCTGATAGCATATCGCATTTTTGCACTCTTTTCAATCCAATATGGCCGCCAAACTACGTGACTTTTGACAAATGACTAAGAACAGAAAACGTACAGCAACAACAGACAACATCTAAACCAGCTTGTTGAAGACTTTTCCCTGGTAAGTTTGCTTTTGAAAATCCCGTGAAGAAGTCTGAAAGTTTTTGAAGAGAACTTTGGCCCGGAAGTAGCACTCAATATGGCGGCCATCGAAGGCACACCCAAGGGGTCAACAGCATGAACATCAATCTACGCAGTAGGGATACAATGACGTGTCAACCCAGTCAGCGAGCCTGACCACCAGATGCCGTTACTCACTCCTGCAATATCACGGCGGAGGACAACAGAGCGGGAAACAAACTGAGTGATTCATATGGTGACATGTCATACAATACACATGTATGACTTACGGTGATTACACCTGTCGTTGATCCACCCTGCGGCACATCCTCCAGGACATGTTCCATTTGTCTTGATGTAAACATCACCATCCACACAGTTGCCACACTGGTCGTCACAGTTAGGACCATAGTAACCATTAGGACATGCTGTGAACATAACGAAGTATATATTCTTGGTGTCTCTATTATTTGAAAGGACAATGGAATGTGGCCGTCATACAAACACCCCGTATAATGAACGTCTCTGCTTCTTAACATCGAAAATGAACTCCAAACTATTCCCAATAAAGAGCTGACTGTTTTTCAAATCATCTCACTCAACCACCGACAACTGAAACCTTCATCCGACTGTTGTAGTCGGACAATATCCATATTTTAAAATCATTAAGTAAATATTTTCCACAAGTACCCCATATAAGGAATGAGTAAATATAACATTAATTAATGCTAAACTATACACAGCTTTATTACCGAAAATATTACTGAATAAATCTTTCTGTCTGAAAGGACGTACTTGAAGTTGTGTTTATATAATTCCATTTCAGCGAGCACCTGAATACCCTCCATCACATCCACTCCCGCAGGTTCCATTAGTTTTGTCGCATAATGTTTGTTCAATATTGCTTACAATAACCTGTGATTATTTTAATGTAGACATGCACATACTCAAATTTCAGGTTCAAACCTCGAAGGTTATGCCAATATTTAATACAGTATAAGGACTGAATGTGGGCCACACATCAAGTCACATATTATAATGTTACACACTTGAAAATGTCTGTTTAAAACTTAAGTACTAACGCTTTGCATACAATCAATTTCATACACTAGAAAGTATACTAGTGGTGTGACAAGTCATCGATACACATCGATGCATCGATCCATGGGCCGCCGATACAGTGAATCAATACAAAGTTTTAAATTCTTGTATATCCCGATACGACACTTCAAATGAGCCACGATACATCGATGTTTAACTTTGAATATTGCCAAATCTCGATATCTGTCAAGAACAAAGACTTACTTTTGTTTGATTATTAAAATATAGGCTTACTTATTTTCCCTTCATAAGTAAACGTTTTCTCGGAAATTCTTGCGTCAAGAATAGTGTCAGACATAGCGCTCCCATGTTATCAACATTCACAAAGTCCGTGTATAAACTAAATTATCTCATTTCCGAATGAAAATTGAACAACGCTGGCGGAATTTGACGAAATACTATAAAATTTTGTTTTGAGCTTAAGGTTTTTTATAGTTGGTGTTAGAATTAAAGACTTTAGTATCGTAATACGTATCGCCACCCTTGTATCGGGATTCGTATCGTATCGCAGCTTTAGTGCACTATACTTTGGCAATATATCGTCGTGACTAAAAATTTAGCACTAAGGTATACTTTCTCCAGTTCCCTGTTACGTACATGTATGCTGAATGGCGTGTCCTGCCTCACTATACAGATTTCTCCCTTACATTAATATTTACATATTGTACATGAAGTAAAATATTCCGATCTTTAACATACATTAAACAAACACATGATGAACGCTGTATCTGTACTGCTAATGACAAAATAATGCATGAATCCCAGAGACCCCATATGTACTTACGAAGAAGGCATTTGTAGGTTTATGAGTTTTCCTTACACCTGGTAAAATATACTGACAATGTCTTTAAATCCTCACCCTTGAGATTTTTTGTGAAGATCCAAGATGTTTTGCTAACTTGTCTCAGCGAAACCATTTGCTCAAAAGACTCACGTTGGGTGGATTAACATCCAATACATCATGTAGTATCTACAATAAAATATTACAAAATTCCGACAATTATTACGTTCAGAGCATGTACCTGTTTGGCAGTCTATTTCCATGTATCCTGGAGCACATCCACCAAGACACTGTCCAGTGATCTTTTCACATACCTCTGTGTTTAGCGAACAATGACACTGTTTGTCACAGTCCTCACCAAACCAGCCGTGACTACAAACTGAAAACGAGCATGATGTGTACCAAACAGGAATTGTAATTGACAAGATCAAAATCAAAGTAATATCACGTTTCATAATTAACAATCAACAAAACTGTAGAAAGAGCGTTTTCCTTTCGAACAATAAATATAACAAGACAATAAGTAGAAACTGGGAGGACAATTCGCCATTACCGACAAAGTACAAAGCATTACTGTCATAACTACTCTCTCACTACGAACCCTTATTTGGGGTCTGTTGTCTGTAATGTCAATTCACAAGGGGTTTCAATGATTGGTTTGTCATCAGTTGTCTCAGGACAGAGTCAAAACGTTCACAAGCCTCATCTTTAGACCTTTCCCCCACATACACATTGTTCAAACTAATTCTTAAGTCAAAACATGTCATTTTTCCTTTAAAAGCTCAAAGATGCATGTTAACCTACCAAATATCTGCACCTCGCACAGCGTGAGATAATCGCTTGTCTGTATGGTGAGGTTGTTTCCTGTCAGTGCTTGCTGACATTCGACGTCGGCTATAGCAGGCGGATAGGTGGTATGTGACCACTGGAAGCACAGTTGTCCGCCAACATATATCTTCATGCCCTTGTTTCTGAACGGAACTGGGAATGCGAAGGGGTCAGGGGATACATTTGATGACATTTCGAATGGGGCCATGTGAAAAAGTACAGGTTATTGCATACAGAAGAAAGGCAAATGTTACCTGAGGTCTACATGGTCAAGGTTGATGACCCAACGGTAGCTGAACTTACAACATTCCGTGCGTAACACAAGAAACACACACCAAGAATGCCTTATACTTTTTAAGGATTTAGTTGTTTATATGTAGCTTAACACGATATTATTGTTTAGCGAAACAAAAACAATATATATATTTGGATATTATTAATTTGTTTTAATTTATTATAGGATATTTATATCACGCACATATCCACGCAACTAGTACATGCTCAAGGCGCTGCATGGATACCCATACTCACAGTGCTGACGTAGATACAGCTTGATCTGTTGTATCTTGTCTGTGTTTGAGTTGTTCAGGTACACAGTCCATGTTTGGTCTCCACTGTTGGTATGTGTACATGTCAGTGGTTTACTATGGACGTCGGTGGTAGCTCTGCCATCCACGCCGTACCAGGCCTCATAACGGTGTGTTGTATTCCCTGTCCGGACGGTGGATTCAGTGAGAGTACTGCTCTGTCTGGCAATTCGTCCTAAGGCAATATTTCCTGAAGAAAGTGAAAACAAGTACATTATACACAATTAGGTTTATTTAATGACAACAGTTAATACATGGCCGGGTACATTATTTCTAACTGTCCATTTTACTTGACATAGTCAAGTTTCATACGTCCTTCATAACAAGCAAACGTGGGATCATGATTACAGAGGAGAAACAGCATTCCAAATATATTCCAGACACCACTGCATATGATATGACATGATATTTTTCTTCGCAACAAGTAATATCATATTGAGCGTGTATAGTTAAGAGTCTAATGATTGAGTGAGTTCAGATTTATAGTCACATCGGCAATATTTCATTCATATCGTGACTTAGGAAGTTATAAATTGATGGAATATATGGAATTAAATTATTACAAAAACCTGTCGACGAAGGACAGTAAAATAACTAGATTATCACAGATAGAAACGTAAAACCAGTAATTAAATCTAATCATTTCAACTATAGAGGACAACACAATATAACAGCAGGCTATAGATTGACAAAAACTGAAGGTAGATCACCATACTAGAGACCATGGGGACTTATAGTGTCTTTGGCTACCTGCATGGACCATAGTTGGATTTACACCATCCCATCAGATGTAAGCAATTTTGACAATCTAGCCATAAATTAAAATAACATATATCCTGCAGTTAAAATGATAGTATGTTTAAATTTACTTGAATTGTTTGGGGACTTACGTACCCTCTCAGGAGGAGAATAATTTTACAGTACTTTAACCCCCCTCGAGGATACAGCCAGTAACAATATGAGTTATTTATTTAAAATACCACTCATAAAACATTTATCTATTTAAACAACGTTAATCAAAATATATCTTACAATTCTATTTCCTTTAAAACAGCAATGACAATAATGATAATTAATGCTATAAAAAAATCCTTTATTGTTTTGACATTGAAGAGTCATACGAACGTAATTGCGCAACACATATATTTACTACTCATCCGTTGAAGATATCACTGTTTAATAAATCTACAATGTTATTACACATTGCTGCCGGAAGTATATGCACTCAGTCACATGACCAAAGTGATGTGATCGAAACAAAATGTCGGCTGTCATTCACATCACACCTCGAAGTCGCGATATCTCAGGTGTTTTATTTAAAACATTCTTTACATAGCTAAGGGAATTCTTGGAATTCAAGGAGAGATCTAAGACACATACATGTGTTGACATCAAATATGTACGAACAGTCACTCCTAAAGCTTGTGTCTCCGGTCACTGCCTAATGTTGACAATCATAAATGAAATGTATTCATACGCGTGAATGACAGTGTTATGACAGCGTAATGCACTCTGTCTGTAAGTTGAATTCTGAGATATCTTTTGCTAATGTTGGGTGAGCAATAAATACAATAGTAAACGATGGCCCGTGTAATACCATATTTATGAAAATCGTACATGGTATTGTTATCTAACCTGCTTTCGCTCCTAAGATATCAAATCATTCACCCGTTTTATGGTATTACACGGGACATTGTTTGAAACATTGTTGATGTTCTTTCAGTAGTCTTCTGCAAAGTGTTAATTAAACCAGGGAATAGGGAAAAAACGGGTGAACGATAAAACAAGATTAACAATATATACTAGCCACCTAAAGAAACTGTGCACACAGAAAATTCCTTCAGAATTGGAATGCAACACAGAAAAGACGAAATGATGTAGACAATTTATAAGCAGAAGTATCGGACCACAACAAAATGTCAAAAGACCATAAACAATATCCGTAACGATGATGTCAGAAGTTCAAAATCGAGTAAGGGGGGCACAGGACGAAGTCATAAAGTCAACGAGTGACCCGAATCCATCTGTCCTGTCTTGCCGTCGTTACGTCGGGGACGCCCAGAACGCGTTCTGGGTGGTTGGCGACGTCATTACTGTTTCGATAACGCCTGATCAATGCAGATATCGTGTTACGATGGCATTGGAAATGTGCTGTCATCTGGTGTTGGCTCATTCCTGCTCGAACCATTCCAATGGCTTCTGGACGTTGAGCAGATGTTAATCTTGGCATTATGTGCATGTGACTTCTCATGTGAATGAGACCGCCTCCGTGGTGTAGTGGTTAGTGCGTCCGCCCGGAGAGCAGAAGGTCGCGGGTTCGATCCCCGACCGCGTCATACCAAAAGATGTTAAAATATGGTACTTGTTGGTCCCTGTCTGGTGCTCGGCATTAATGGGTACAACAAGGACTGGTCGGCTCGGAGTCAGTATAATGTGTCTGAGTGGGGTATTCATGCTTCACTGCGGCATGGTATCTGAGTGGGCTAGCACTATAAAACCAGCTTCAGTCTGGGCTAGTAGAGGAAGCCGCACATACACATACACACGCATGCACGTCGTCATATGAGCGAAATATTCTCAAGCACGACGTCAAACCCAATTTCGCCTCACCTCATGTGAATGACCAAAGATCAGGCTTTCGACAATGACAGCAATTTCTGAGTTTCACATGTTGTGTGCAGCTGCACGGGCTGCACGTTCAGTAACACACTGCAAGTCCATAGGACACCATCAATGACGTCACGTCGCCTGGCATGTGCATGAGCGTTTGATTGTCTCCAATACTTTATGTATAAAGACACTGTGTGTCTATATTTATATATTTCTGTGTGCACAGTTTCTTTATGTGGCCAGTATATATATGATGTCTCCTCAAAATAGACTATTACAGATCAAATTTAAGAAATCGCATTCAAATATATAAACGTTTTTGACTGGTCATACCTCCATTGACTACGGACATGCACATACATGAATGCGAAATCTATCATGTCTTGTCAATTTGCTGAATATGTGACACGCCAAGGCCCGGATATATGTGACACATCGCGATGCTTATCAGTATTTGAAAAGGATTTCTAAATATGTTATAAGTAGGAAATACTTTGGGAAATACCACAGATACAACGAGGAAATTGATTTCTACTGTGATTGAAATTGCTTAATTCAACCGGAGTGAGTTCGGTTATCTTGCGCATCGATGAACAAGATGAGAATACCATCTACTCACGTTTCTGGCAGTAGGATACAAACCATCCTTCCCGACATCTGTCTGGATCGCCGACCTGGCTACAGGGACTTAGAGGGGAACACGGCGCAGGCAGTCTCACTGGCACAGTGACATTCAGCATCTGACGAGATAAGGAAAAAAGAAAATGATGTCATGATGTTATGACACGTGTTCTCCATCCACCCTGCTGCACATCCGTTGGGACATGTTCCAGTAGACTTGTTACACACATCTTTGTCAAGACAGTTTCCACATTTGGACGTGTAGGCGGTACCGTAGTAACCATCTGGACATGCTACAAAAAGAGTGCTTTAAACTTAGAAGGTGGAACAAAATATGGAAATACAAATATTAGTAAATGTAAATATATACAACAATTTAAATTGAAAAGGATATAAACTACTTCTATTGACTCTACTTTCTTCGCATAAGCAAATGTATGGACCAATAGCTTCACTCATGAAACTTCGTGTGTCACCAATAATGAAAATGTATCATCAGATCTGGTTCTATTTTATTTGGTATTCATATGGTGACATGTCATACAATACACATGTATGACTTACGGTGATTACACCTGTCGTTGATCCACCCTGCGGCACATCCTCCAGGACATGTTCCATTTGTCTTGATGCAAACATCACCATCCACACAGTTGCCACACTGGTCGTCACAGTTAGGACCATAGTAACCATTAGGACATGCTGTGAACATAACGAAGTATATATTCTTGGTGTCTCTATTATTTGAAAGGACAATGGAATGTGGCCGTCATACAAACACCCCGTATAATGAACGTCTCTGCTTCTTTACATCGAAGATGAACTCCAAAATATTCCCAATAAAGAGCTGACTTTTTTTCAAATCATCTCACTCAACCACCGACAACTGAAACCTTCATCCGACTGTTGTAGTCGGACAATATCCATATTATATAGAACAAACTTTATGGATAACAACTTCTTTTTATTCGTGTTTTTTATTATGTTGTCTTCTTTGTTACATTGTTACATTCAGTATATATACACTTCCCCTTCTTCATGTTCCATTATGCTTGACAACGGTACAAGAATCTGTATCGAAACGTCGCACTCACGAATAAAAAGAAGTTATCCATAAAGTTTGTTCTATATTATACTTCCCAAGTTCTCAAAGAAAATATCCATATTTTAAAATCATTAAGTAAATATTTTCCACAAGTACGCCATATAAGGAATGAGGAAATATAACATTAATTAATACTAAACTATACACAGCTTTATTACCGAAAATATTACCGAATAAATCTTTCTGTCTGAAAGGACGTACTTGAAGTAGTGTTTATATTATTCCATTTCAGCGAGCACCTGAATACCCTCCATCACATCCACTCCCGCAGGTTCCGTTAGTTTTGTCGCACATCAAGTCACATATTAGAATGTTACACACTTGAAAATGTCTGTTTAAAACTTAAGTCCTAATGCTTTGCATACAATCAATTTCATACACTAGAAAGTATACTAGTGGTGTGACAAGTCATCGATACACATCGATGCATCGATCCATGGGCCGCTGATACAGTGAATCAATACAAAGTTTTACATTCTTGTATATCCCGATACGATACTTCAAATGAGCCACAGTACATCCATGTTTATCTTTGAATATTGCCAAATCGCGATATCTGTCAAGAAAAAAGACTTACTTTTGTTTGATTATTAAAATATAGGCTTACTTATTTTCCCTTCATAAGTAAACGTTTTCTCGGAAATTCTTGCGTCAAGAATAGTGTCAGACATAGCGCTCCCATGTTATCAACATTCACAAAGTCCTTGTATAAACTAAATTATCTCGTTTCCGAATGAAAATTGAACAACGCTGGCGGAAAATTTAAAATTTTGTTTTGAGCTTAAGTTTTTTTTACAGTTGGTGTTAGAATTAAAGATTTTAGTATCGTAATACGTATCGCCACCCTTGTATCGGGATTCGTATCGTATCGCAGCTTTTGTGCACAATACTTTGGCAATATATCGTCGTGACTAAAAATTTAGTATAGTGATATATCGTATCGCATGTTGTATGCCAATACCAGCACTAAGGTCTACTTTCTCCAGTTCCCTGCTACGTACATGTATGCTGAATGGCGTCTCCTGCTTCACTATACAGATTTCTCCCTTACATTAATATTTACATATTGTACATGAAGTAAAATATTCCGATCTTTAACATACATTAGACAAACACATGTCTTTAAATCCTCACCTTTATGGTTTTTGTGAAGATCCAAGATGTTTTGCTAACTTGTCTCAGCGACACAATTTGCTCAAAAGACTCACGTTGGGTAGATTAACATCCAATACATCATGTAGTATCTACAATAAAATATTGCAAAATTCCGACAATTATGACGTTCAGAGCATGTACCTGTTTGGCAGTCTATTTCCATGTATCCTGGAGCACATCCACCAAGACACTGTCCAGTGATCTTTTCACATACCTCTGTGTTTAGCGAACAATGACACTGTTTGTCACAGTCCTCACCAAACCAGCCGTGACTACAAACTGAAAACGAGCATGATGTGTACCAAACAGGAATTGTAATTGACAAGATCAAAATCAAAGTAATATCACGTTTCATAATTAACAATCAACAAAACTGTAGAAAGAGCGTTTTCCTTTCGAACAATAAATATAACAAGACAATAAGTAGAAACTGGGAGGACAATTCGCCATTACCGACAAAGTACAAAGCATTACTGTCATAACTACTCTCTCACTACGAACCCTTATTTGGGGTCTGTTGTCTGTAATGTCACTCACAAGGGGTTTCAATGATTGGTTTGTCATCAGTTGTCTCAGGACAGAGTCAAAACGTTCACAAGCCTCATCTTTAGACCTTTCCCCCACATACACATTGTTCAAACTAATTCTTAAGTCAAAACATGTCATTTTTCCTTTAAAAGCTCAAAGATGCATGTTAACCTACCAAATATCTGCACCTCGCACAGCGTGAGATAATCGCTTGTCTGTATGGTGAGGTTGTTTCCTGTCAGTGCTTGCTGACATTCGACGTCGGCTATAGCAGGCGGATAGGTGGTATGTGACCACTGGAAGCACAGTTGTCCGCCAACATATATCTTCATGCCCTTGTTTCTGAACGGAACTGGGAATGCGAAGGGGTCAGGGGATACATTTGATGACATTTCGAATGGGGCCATGTGAAAAAGTACAGGTTATTGCATACAGAAGAAAGGCAAATGTTACCTGAGGTCTACATGGTCAAGGTTGATGACCCAACGGTAGCTGAACTTACAACATTCCGTGCGTAACACAAGAAACACACACCAAGAATGCCTTATACTTTTTAAGGATTTAGTTATTTATATGTAGCTAAACACGATATTATTGTTTAGCGAAACAAAAACAACATATATATTTGGATATTATTAATTTGTTTTAATTTATTATAGGATATTTATATCACGCACATATCCACGCAACTAGTACATGCTCAAGGCGCTGCATGGATACCCATACTCACAGTCCTGAAGTAGATACAGCTTGATCTGTTGTATCTTGTCTGTGTTTGAGTTGTTCAGGTACACAGTCCATGTTTGGTCACCACTGCATATGATATGACATGATATTTTTCTTCGCAACAAGTAATATCATATTGAGCGTGTATAGTTAAGAGTCTAATGATTGAGTGAGTTCAGATTTATAGTCACATCGGCAATATTTCATTCATATCGTGACTTAGGAAGTTATAAATTGATGGAATATATGGAATTAAATTATTACAAAAATCTGTCGACGAAGGACAGTAAAATAACTAGATTATCACAGATAGAAACGTAAAACCAGTAATTAAATCTAATCATTTCAACTATAGAGGACAACACAATATAACAGCAGGCTATAGATTGACAACAACTGAAGGTAGATCACCATACTAGAGACCATGGGGACTTACAGTGCCTTTGGCACCGGACGAAGTCACAAAGTCAATGAGTGACCCGAATCCATCTGTCCTGTCTTGGCGTCGTTACGTCGGGGACGCCCAGAACGCGTTCTGGGTGGTTGGCGACGTCATTACTGTTTCGATAACGCCTGATCAATGCAGATATCGTGTTACGATGGCATTGGAAATGTGCTGCCATCTGGTGTTGGCTCATTCCTGCTCGAACCATTCCAATGGCTTCTGGACGTTGAGCAGATGTTAATCTTGGCATGATGTGCATGTGACTTCTCATGTGAATGCGACCGCCTCTGTGGTGTAGTGGTTAGTGCGTCCGCCCGGAGAGCGGAAGGCCGCGGGCTCGATCCCCGACCGCGTCATACCAGAAGACGTTAAAATATGGTACTTGTTGGTCCCTGTCTGGTGCTCGGCATTAATGGGTACAACAAGGACTGGTCGGCTCGGAGTCGGTATAATGTGTCTGAGTTGGGTATCCGTGCTTCACTGCGGCATGGTATCTCAGTGGGCTAGCACTATAAAACAAGCTTCAGTCTGGGCTAGTACAAGCAGCCGCACATACACATACACACGCATGCACGTCGTCATATGAGCGAAATGACGAGCCTGACCACCCGATCAGGTAAGTCGTTAGAGGCGACTCTCAAGCACGACGTTAAACCCAATCCCACCACCACCGCCACCACAAATACCTACATGCAATTGACTAATTGTTATTATATCTACCAAGTGGTGAAGGGGTGAGCATGGTTTACCCCTAGTTTAGCAATATTCCAGCAACATCAGAATGGGGGACACCATGCACGTCGTCATATGAGCGAAATATTCTCAAGCACGACGTTAAACCCAATTTCGCCTCACCTCATGTGAATGACCAAAGATCAGGCTTTCCGCAATGGCAGCAATTTCTGGGTTTCACATGTTGTGTGCAGCTGCACCGGCTGCACGTTCAGTAACACATTGCAAGTCCATAGGACACCATCAATGACGTCACGTCGCCTGGCATGTGCATGAGCGTTTAATTGTCTCCAATACTTTATGTATAAAGACACTGTGTGCCTATATTTATATATTTCTGTGTGCACAGTTCCTTTATGTGGCCAGTATATATATATGATGTCTCCTCAAAATAGACTATTACAGATCAAATTTAAGAAATCGCAATTAAATATATAAACGTTTTTGACTGGTCATGCCTTCATTGACTACGGACATGCACATACATGAATGCGAAATCTATCATGTCTTGTCAATTTGCTGAATATGTGACACGCCAAGGCCCGGATATATGTGACACATCGCGATGCTTGTCAGTATTTGAAAAGGATTTCGAAATATGTTTTAAGTAGGAAATACTTTGGGAAATACCACAGATACAACGAGGAAATTGATTTCTACTGTGATTGAAATTGCTTAATTTAACTGGAGTGAGTTCGGTTATCTTGCGCATCGATGAACAAGATGAGAATACCATCTACTCACGTTTCAGGCAATAGGAACCAAACCATCCTTCCTGACATCTGTCTGGATCACCGACCTGGCTACAGGGAGTAGAGGGAAACACGGCACAGGCAGTCTCGCTGGCACAGTGACATTCAGCATCTGACGAGATAAGGAAAAAAGAAAATGATGTCATGTTCTTTATAAAGAACTAATATCTACGTATACATGTGAAACACCCAGAAGGTGAGGCATCAAATGTTTTCTCAAAAACTCGAAATGATTCATCTTTCACTTTGGCCATTCCTACTTGATGGTATGTCCAACCTAATCATGCATGATATTAAGTGTCAGATATAACTTTATCCAGGATGTTCCGTACAACAGGGAACATAGCACCAGGTGAATAGTTTATATACTAATGGTAACATACCAATAACCCCAATAACCCCAATAAAACGTCCTACCAGTGAGTGTCCCAGTGGTGGAGAAAAACAACACCGTGGTCAAAAACCATGCCAATGTGTTTTGGGTTTGTTCCATGGGGGCTCGAACCTGCAATGAAGCATACAATGACATGTTTACTTAATGACATGCCTCCGCCCACCCCTCACAAACAATTACTAACAATTGAAGAGCACATATTCTCCAATCTGTTTAATCAAACATAAAGTATTATTTTAGTCAAATTGGGGTGCTGAAATGTTGAACGTACACAATCATGCGATAAAACCCTGTGGAGAGATCTGGTCATGCTCACCCAGCCATTTGACCAGACCTCAACGAAACAATGTCAGAAGGAAATAATGCATGTATAATGTGGTGAATGTGCAGGTTATCTTTTTTTATCATCTCTGCTGACATACACCTGATTGTATATGTGGGATGTGCACAACAGTTAAATCATACACATTCATAGCTGTCTTAGATGATTACACCCTAAACCCACATCAGAACTGTCGACTGCACAGAATAAGTTAGTAATCATAACTTCTGAACAGTTTCACTTAGATCTTTGCTGTCGTTGTGTTTGTTATGGAAGCTTCTTTAACGTGCATCTTTGATATCATCACTACGTCATGGACACGTGTTCTATGTACGTACATATTTCCTATCATCGTCTTGGCTATCGACCTGCTTTATATTTGAATGTATGATAATACTGAATAAAAGGAGATCTTAAAATAGCATTTCACGAGACTAGCCTGAATCAGCAGGTTGAACATTCTACCTGTCACTATGACATAGCGTTAAACCCTTTTTTTAACCTACCATATTGCGCTTGGTATTATCACTAGAATGGTGAGGAAATGTGATTCCACGCAAGCAGTGAATACACAGATATGAATTTAGATATATTCAGTAGTCCACTATTCTACTGTGGGTGGGACTGACCATGTATAGGATGAGGGATTGTTGCCTGCTCCTTGTCAACTCGGGGTAGAGGTAGGGAGGTGGGGGCCGCGGAGTGGTGTTCCTGTCTGATAGTGATATGGGTGTTGACTGACAAGTCGCAGTATCTCTTAACGCTCGCGCTCAACGAATGGCAGTGGATTTGACTCCCAGTGTTACGTCAATGTGCACACACGCTAGAGTGCATTGGAGTGAGTAAACATTTAATCACTATCACTAAATACTAAACATGTGATAAATGTGGTCTCACCTTAGGCAAGTGAGTTTGTTCAAATCCCCTGTTTCACCCAGCAGAAAATGGGTACATGTACCCGGTGAGATAAGTCATTCCTATTAACTATTAACCTCCTAGCTTCTCACGATCAGCTTTGGTCATCCGGGGTAATATCCCTCCTATACTTTGTGATGCGCCGTTGAAAGGCTTCGAGTTGGATACCAGGTGCCACATAAATCCATTACATACTACTCACACTTTGATAAGGATCACACAAATTCCCAACTGTACTTAAACATCGATTTATAATTTGAAATTGTATCCATTTAAACCTGGATAAATATTAATATGGTAACCCTGCTTTAGGCGAACAGCCACTTTAATCTAACCTTATGCACTTGATACATGAGTAACCATAAAAGTGGTGTTCATGGCACCAATCAACCATTTTGCAATTCATGGAACGAGTAATTGACAAATACACAACACCTATCAATAGCAGGTATGGGATCCACAAGATGTAGTGACATACTGAAAACTTGGATCCATGCTTACGATAAGCTTAGATATTTAAACCAAATTGGACCCGACATCATAGCTTTCTGTTGAATCAATGATGTGATCCTTAGCAAAGTGTGAATAGTATATATATAAACAAATTCAGTTTTCCATGGCACTCTTAATAGAAACAGTACATGTATCCGTCGAGGACTATGCACCAGTTGTACAACTACTCCCTGCCTAACAAGTAAACAGTACCGAAGTAAAGCAAACAGGGACACCTGATCATAAGAATGTCTTGGGTTTTTGGTTAATTTTCTCGATGACTCCAGTACTCAGGCAGTAAACAGATCAGCGATTTCTCGACTACGGTGAATCATAAAACAACAAAGCACTGATTTAAACGGGAGTCTCTCGTTATCAGTTTTGAACACACTGCTGTGTCCATTTGTTCAAAGCAACGATTTACTAAATGTATATAGATATAACCCTATGTATAACGAGAAAGGTAGAGACATATATCAAGTAAAAATAAACGAATAAGGTATCCACAAATACCTCTCGCTATCAACACAACTCGCCGTGCATTGCAACCTAAAATAGACTCGGATCACCATGACATAGACGCTTTCACAATATATAGTAATTCAATTGTTGGACACTTGTAAATAGACTCAGATGAGCAATAAAAGATGTCGTACTCATTTTCATACTCAACGGTATCTATCCCACATATGTGATATCATTATGATGAAACGGTCATTACAGACATCATAAAATGTATGCACGTGTATGATTAGCATTAAAATCTATAATATACTCACTTTTGTTTTCCCACAAAGGAAAATAACACTGAATCTCAACCAGGAAGAAAATTGTGGAGAGGCAAACGCATGTCATCCACATCTGCCTATTGTAAGTTTGTATTAACTGGTATTTTTAAAAGTTGAAATTACATCCTGGATTGTAGCCAGCTACATGGTTTAAAGTTTTATACGTGGTAAAAATAATGTATACGAGGTATCTGTGTTGTGCTCTAGAAAGTATTTTGAATAGGAATTAGTTACATTATTGGTCTTTTATTGACGGGGCACGCTGAGATTAGTCGTACATTATTTCTTCTTATCTTACCCATATCTTATGTATCTTATGTGCCAACTTAATGCAGGTAACAAAATCCCATAACATCCACCCCACAACCCCCACCCCACCCCACCCAGCCCCACCCCACCCTCCTATAATAAAGGAACAGTCCCTAAATAATGTTCAAAATCATTAACGTGTATATTTTAAATAATTATACTGTGTCAAAGTTAGTTCGTCTCATTCTGATCAATGTTGTTTCCCCACTTCTCTGTGTTACATTTTCATGGCAACCTGTCTCCCCACCACCTTCGCCACACGCCTCATACCCTACATCTCATCAGCTGCCTCTCCCAATAATAAATGATAAGTTCCTGAGAGAATGCTTAAACTATAAACTCGAGTTTGGTGTACATGTGTAGAGGGAAAACTGGCTCTTTGCAGACCTGATGAACCCAACTCTGGACGGAGAATAAGCTTGCCTTACACGACAACAACAACCCTGTCCTGTCCTGCATATCATTTGGCCATGTTTAATCTATATACTGTGAATAGGTCGCCTGCAGTATGCAATAATACGCCGTACGCATTGTTGATTACATTAAACAACAGGTTTCAATGGCAAACAACTGACTCGTTGTTGGAATCGTTTAAAAACTGCTATGTTCATGCATGTGAAAGTGTGATATACATCTTCCGCTTGAGTGCATTCATCTCAGCTCGCCTGACGAGCTCATCCAGCTAACCTCGCCGTCGTGATAGAGTAGGTAGGTAGGTAGGTGGGTAGGTAGGTAGGTACATGAAGGTAGGTAGCTAGGTAGGTAGCTAGGTAGGTAGGCAGATAGGTATTCACGTCTCGCCTCAACATGGTACAAAATCAGCTAAATACATAAAAACTATATCACAGTCGTGTTGCCACAGTTTCAGACTGAGAGTTGGATATGCTTGACATGTCTTGGTTATATAAAGAGGCAAGTGACACATGCAGAATGGTGATACATACTTTGACAGCTGTGAAGGAAGAGTGCTGCTAACAGATGTTGCAACCTCGTTGTACACTAACAAACACATTATTTAAGTCATAATTGGTGAGGTTGATTTGATTCCGATTTGTGCAAATGTGTGTGGTGGTAGATACAGATAGTTTAAGATTTGGTATTATGGTGCGGAATATGTAAATCAAGTAGAGATGCCACACGTTATCCAGTGGATGAAAATGAAACTAAAATGTAAGATATACAACGTATTACTTCAGTCAAATTAAATATTTTAAAAAAAATCATTAGAAAAAAACAGTATTCTGATGTATGTTCCACTTTTTAACATAATCCTTGCTAATACTAAAAGCAGGTTTGAGGATAAGTCTGATGTTTATAACATGAACTGCATCCTTCTCATCGCGGATGTAGTTTAGTTTGTATTTAAATCATTTGGGAAAAGGGAGTTACTTGCGTGACAATGAACAGCACATTATTCTGACTATCGTTTTGAAATAAACAAATCATCCTTCACTTGTTGAAAGGCGAACACTATTTATCACTAAACGATTACTTCCGTGTTCTTTTGTTTGAGACGTACAATTTTAATGAGGGAATCTAGGAGAGTGGTTAAAACATTGAAATAGAATTGTGTCTCTGAACTCTACATGTATTCACACCGTATAATGTATTATAAAGAAGTCATGATGGCTGAATGACACATATCATTTACGTAAAAGGGCGTTTACAACTTGAACTTGCTTTATTGTTAACGCATGGCTTTTGATGTCCGTAACAGTCTATAATCAGAAGGAATATTAACAGCCTTGCCAGCTGTGGATAGTTTTGCATTTACAGATAAATGAAAGCACTTTGCGAAGCCATGTGAATGCCCATGAGTTTGTGCATTGTAGTTTAACACCACACTCAGTAATAGTGTGATAATATCGCTACCTGTAAATGAAGGTGTCACGACAAGACATTCATTTGGTTGTTATTATGAGTTTCCTATGTAGGAGTTACCACATTCACAGTTGATCTTATAGATCACTCCTTTCGGGGGTTGCTTTTCGCAGGGTGGACTGCGGCCCTTTAAACTGACCCATTATATACTGAGTCAAAAAAGAAACTTCACCTTCTTTCTTCAGGGCACTATAAAAGAACAAGAGATGGTAAGATGATTAAATTGTTATTATTTCATTGCTGAGATCTGTGTGATGTACTCGAAACACTGACAGTGCCATAATCAGTTCCATTAGGCTACACCGCCGTTCCAAAACATGGGTATACAGAATGTCAAGTCACAAGAATAAAAATGCAAAATTTCTCAGTTTAATATCGTGTATGGCCGCACCCGCGCATTCACCACTTCCAAACACCGTCTCCTCATCGACTGCCTGATGCTTGCGAACACGTGGTTGGGGATTCTGCACCATTGCTCTTGCAAGGCAGCGCCAAGTTCCTGCAAATTCTGAGGTTGGTTCCTAAGACCACGAAGCCTTCTCCCAAGTGCATCCAAAACGTGCTCTATTGGATTAAGGTCAGGGGACATCGATGGCCAGTCAATGACGTTGATTCCAGCGTTGTGAAGGAAATTTCGTGTCAACATCGCGGTATGCGGCCGAGCATTATCATGCTGGAACTGTAGACCTGGGCCATGAGCCGCCATGGAAGGAACGACTTCTGGGGTGAGCACCTGGCCGCGGTAAGCAGCAGCTGTGAGGTTTCCACGGATGACCAGAAGTCGGGAACGGTTGTTCCCACAGAAAGCACCCCACACCATGCAACTTCCGCCCCCGAATCTGTCGACTTCCTGTACACAACATTGGCCATACCGTTCACGACGTCGTCTCCAGACTCTATGCCTGCCGTCCGCGAATCTGAGGGTAAACCTGGATTCATCGCTAAAGACGACTCGATTCCCGTCTCTCTGGGTCCGTCGGAGGTGACGTTGGGCCCACAGCAGACGTTGACGTTGATGAAACGGCGTCAATATTGGCCCACGATATGGACGTCGAGAATGGAGATTGGCAGCCCGCAACCGATTTCGAATGGTCTGTGAGGACAGTCGACCTCTAAACATCTCAGCCCTGGTTCGTGTAGCCGGCAGAAATCTGTCACGTAGGTGACGTAGGACGATTTGAAGGTCTTCTGCTCGTGTCGTCACAAGTGGACGACCCGACCTTGGGCGATCAGAAGTGGTGCCAGTTTGTTGTAGACGACCTCGCAAGTCATACACAGTACGACGGCTGCATCCCATTGTTCTTGCGACGTCAATAACTGATCTTCCCGCTTGCAAAATGCCAACGGCACGTTCACGTTGCACATTTGACAATCGTGGCATTTCAAGTACCGTTAGAACTGTGGTTTAAAAGTGTTTTTTCAATTCTTGAGGCCATTGCAAACACGTGCATATGAAGAAAACTTCGATGCGAAGATCACGTGATCGACTGCACGTGCAAAACCTGATTTGGCACTAACGTCATTTGCACGACGAATGGATGGGTTTGAGTGGGTTTTGCTAACGTTTTTCTAGAGTCGAAAGATAGGGATTCCATTTCGGATGCATAGATGTATCATCAGAGAAAATTATTCATTCTTTTTCAAATTACATTTTGTGAAGTTTCTTTTTTGACTCAGTATATTTCATTTCCTGGCAGCCATTAATGCCAGTGCAGTCTTACGCCTACGGTTGTCATAAAGTATTTTTGGTCTAATTCAACGGTGACCCGACGAACAAAACGAAGATAAATACCTTTTCAAGGACAATAACTACATATGGTAAACACCATCACTAAATACTAGAATGTGTGTGAATATGGACGAATGAAGAAAATGGATTAAATTGAACATTACAGCAGGTGGATGGAAAGGGGAGGATTTTTACATTAGATAGAATGAAGCTTATAAAAAAATCTTCTCCTAAATTCGTCTGTGTGTGTAAATGTGTCTGTGCAGTCATAATAATAATAATAAGTTATCTTCTATAGCGCACAGTCTCCAAACACCAAGTGATTGCTCGCGGCGCTTTATCAGAATCTAATTATTATGACCCCGGATAACCCAAGCTGCCTGTAAGGCGCTAGAAGGTTATAGTCACATGACTTTTTCCAACCGGGTACCCATTTTCTGCTGGGTGAACAGAGGCCATTTTGAACAAACCCACTTGCCTGAGGTGAGACCACATGTATGACATGTGCTTCGTTGTGGGACAGGACTGAAGTCCTAGAAACTCTCAGGATCCAACCGGCCAAACACGGTCACCCATCCAAAGACAGCTGACCGAGCTCGACGTTCCTGATTCGTGAACTGAGCTGTACGCACAGGATCACACACCGTCATAAAACTTAAAACATTGAATTTCTGCACGTTTGGTATTTGCAGACATGAACGGAAACGACTTTTATCTTTAACGCAGATTGCATGCACTGCAACAGTTAAACTACTCGATTTTTGTCATCCATGCGTCTGGTGTAAATCGCAGATTTACTTCATGTTCAGTTAATGATTTTATGGCAGAAAAGGTTTAAACATAATTTTATTTCAAAGAAATCTTGCAAAACTTCCTTATGGAAATTTTATACCTTTCCAGGTAATATGATGAAACGGCTGCTTGGTACATATAGATTGTGCCAAATATAATGTACAATTGCACAAATGAAATACATGAAGTCAGTGATGTCTGTGGATAATTATAATTATGCAGTTATCCTTTCAACGTATGTTTCAAATTGCTAAAATATTTTCCATTTGAGAACAAAATCGTGAACTGATTGAATGATGTCCATGTTTGTTGAACTGCTGACTGAACTCTGGCCATAAAGTAGGGATGACAGGTCATGCCCATGT